AGAGTCCGAGCCGACCGGAAGGCGGCCTGCAGGCGGGGCGCTGCGGGAGCCCAGGAGCTGCGGGCCGCCAGCCCGGCCGGGGCGCTCTGCTGGCCCGCCCGGGCACTGTTGGGGATTAGAAAAGCGAAGTGTCGTAAAAACCGGGAGCACCCGGAAACGTGCCAGAGCAGAGGAAGGGTGGGGAGAGGCGAAAGGGCAGGGCGAAAGCGAGGGCGACCCGGGCTGAGCCGGCGGGGGCAGAGAGAGCTGGCCGCCCCGAGGGCCCAGTTACAATTAAGGAACGTGCTTAGTATTTTTCCTAATTGTAAAAATGCAATCCGTTCATTAAGGAACATTTGAAAGCTGCATGACCAACTAAAGGAACACTTTTGTACCACCAGTTATCACGCCACTAGCCCATTAACTTTCCCTTGTAAATTAGAAAATAAGTGTGAGATTTTTTTCTTTGAAAATTCTAGTCAAGCTGCATGTGCGGTTTTGTAGCCTTTTCTTATGGAATGTTAATCTGTAAGCATTTCCTCGCGTTCTTCAAAATATTTTTCAAAGTCAATGCATTAGCTGCTTCTTGTTGCACACCAGGCAGCCCATAATTATCATGCTACTCTGTGGTTGCGCACTGTGTGCACTTTAATGCACCTCTTAGTCCCCATCTCGGAATCCTTCTCTTAGATCCTTTTCTAAAGATGTCCATCACAGCGTTTGCTCGGTCACAGTTTGTGTTCTTTAAGGAAAACTGCCCCCACCACGGGTCACCGCACTGAGCGACTATGGGTGGGTTATCCCCTCTTAGCCTCAGCTGATTGGACCGAGAGTGGACATCTGATCCAAGGGCAGCCAATCCACAGACTGGCCGAAGACCTCTCACTTGCATAGTTTGCAAAGATAATCTGGCCAGATTCCCTTGTCAAGAGTTCAAACAAGGAAATGCTGAGAGTCACTTTAAGAGGTGGTTGCCAGGAGGTGACTGGGGTTATAGAAACCAAATGATCAGGAGTCAGGTGGTAAAGGAAAGCTAGAGCTGAGAGGGAGATCACCTAGCCCTGTGGGTAGAGGCAGCACCTTCAGAAACCCCCGTTGTCCCTGAGCTTCCCAAACGCTCCCGGGTGTGTGCACTTCCCCAGGCTGAGATGCTTGCATTCCTGGGTTTTTGTGTCTGCATAGCCTTTTCATGTTTCTTGAGATAATTTGAATGAGGTTATCTTCATCTACAATAACCCAGCTGGTTTGGCAAGTTCTTTCAGGTTGAATTACACAGTCAAAAAATAGGAATATATTCAAGTTCTTGATGGCTGTGCTAAATTTCCTTTAAAATGTTAGTTTATAGGCCTGATGTGGTGGCTCATGCCTGTAAACCCTACACTTGGGGAGACTGAGGTGGGAGAATTGCTTGAGGCCAGGAGCTTGAGACCAGCCTGAGCAACATAGGGAGACAGAGATCCCCTCTCTACAAAAGTAAAACATAGAGATTCTCCCCTCTACAAAAATTAAAAATGCCTGTAGTCCCAGGTACTCAGGAGGCTGAGTTAGGAGGATCGCTTGAGCCTAGGTGATTGATGCTGCAGTGAGCCACAATCACACCACTGCCCTCCAGCCTAGGCGACAAAGGGAGACCCTGTCTCTAAAAAATATATGTAAAGTAAATGTATAACAATACCTGAGTAGAAGTCACCTTAATCTATTGGTTGTGCTAACATTGACAGAGAAGCTGAAGCCCAGCTCCATGAGGAGCTCAGCCCTGTCATTGCTCAGCTCCATCCCAAGTCAGGCCCCCTCAGAAACCTGGGGTCCAGGCTGATCCCATAGTTAATCCAAGTCTTGGCAGGTTCGTTTCTTCAGCTCTGCCTCTCAGACTGCCACCAGCTAATGCTGATCACCTGATTCCTTGCCCATTTGCAGCTGGCCTTGTACTTGGACCTTTGGCTTGTCCTGAGACTTGTTTCTTGGGTATAGTCCGATCAAGATGTGACCTCACTAAATTTAACATTTTAATCAATCCCAACTTCAGCATGTTTACAATTCAAAATTGATGACACAGATTAACACCTAAGGTAAGTAATTCCTTTATTAACATTTCCCTGTAAATCTCTGAGTATGCAAATTCTGTTTAAGACTTTGAAGGCATCACTATCTGCTGGGCTCTATATCAGAAACAAAGTTGGTCCAACCCCTAGTGGTCCACCCCTTTTTTCTTTGTACATCTTTTTTTTTTTTTGAGTCGGAGTCTCACTCTGTCACCCAGACTGGAGTGCAGTGGCATGCTCCCGGTCACCGCAGCCTCGACCTGCTGGGCTCCGGCGATCCTTCCGCCTCAGCCTTCCAACTGGAAGCTGGAACTACAGGCGCGCGCTACCACACCCGGCTAGTTTTTGATTTATTGTAGAGATGAGGTCTCACCAAGTTGCCCAGGTGGGTCTCGAACCTGCAGGCTGAGGCAATCCACTCGCCTCGGTCTCCCAGAGTGCTGGGATTACAGGCTGAGCCACCAAGCCCGGCCTGTACATCTTTTAGGACAGCAGAGATGATGTATAACTGGGCATACATGACCCACTTTTTCCCTTAATTCCTTTATGACACCTTCACATAATATACCAAAATAAATATTTAAGGAGTACAATGTCCATGAAAATCTTCTTTACTCACCATTTACTGTTGATGTCTTTTTTTTTTTTTTGAGACAGAGTCTCACTGTGTCAACCATGTGGGAGTGCAGTATCACCAATCATAGCCTACTACAGCCTCAAACTCCAGGGCTCAATGATCTTCCCACCTCAGCCTCCCAAGTAGCTAGGACTGCAGGTGCCAGTAGTCTTGACAGAACAAATGATGGGAGCTGGGCTACAAAAGTTGCAGGCATGATGGCACACATGCCTGGCTTTTTTTTTTTTTTTTTTTTTTTTTTTTTTTGTAGAGATGAGGGTCTCGCTATATTACCTAGGCTGGTCTCAAACTCCTGACCTCACGTGATCCTCCTGCCTCAACCTCCCAAAGTGCTGGAATTACACTGTCTGTCGCATCACCTTGCAACTCAGGCATTATACTAAGTTATTATCACAAGTCTTGATTCTTTGCATTTGACATTTTTTTTCTTTTTTCTTTTTGAGTTGGAGTCTCACTCTGTCACCCAGACTGACCACTCCTGACCACCGCAGCCTTGACCTGCTGGGCTCCGGCGATCCTTCCGCCTCAGCCTTCCTAGTAGCTGGAACTACAGGCGCGTGCTACCACGCCCTGCTAATTTTTGATTTATTGTAGAGATGAGGTCTTGTCAAGTTGCCCAGGCGTGTCTCTAATCCACTCACCTCAGCCTTCCAAAGGCGTGGGATTCTTTGTTTTTTCTTTTAAAGATGTGGGTTACAATTCAGTGTTAGATATACAAATATTCATTATGCAGGTACCCTTTGTGATGAGGTATGCCCCTCTTCCCCAGCATTTGACTTTTAACCAAATAATTTGCACAGGTGTGATATTACAGTAGCAACAATTTATAAATAGTGGCATGGACGATGACTAAAACTTTAGTGTAGAGAGTTTAGGGTCTCATTTGATCATGGGATGGCATTTACCAATGCAGTAAAACATATTACAACTCTTAGGTGAAATCCAAATCAAAACCTCAGTGAAATTCCATTTTATACCTTCCAGATTGGCAAAAATTAAAAAGACAGTATCAAATACTGGATAGGATTTGAAACAACTGCTGATAGGAGTGTAAATCACTATAACCTCTTTAGAAACCAATTTGGCATTGTGTCTCAAAGCTGATATGCCTGTGATTCAACAGTCCTTTTCCAGGTGTATTCCCTGGAGAAACTTTTGCACAAGTGTACCAGAAAGCAAGTGATGTTCAAAGCAGC